TTACAGCTTAGTAGAGGGAACAGTTAAGTAACCATAAAGATACTACAGTGTTGTAAAAGCCATGATAGAGGTAATCTCAGAGTTCTAATGGAGCAGAGTCAAAAACAACTAAATCAGACTAAAATAGAGGAGGGCTGGACAGGAGAAGAGGGGTTGAGGACAAATAGGAATTGGGCATATTGGGGAGGGAGGGAGCCAAAGTGGGGAGATGGTGTCTAGGCAGAGGAAACTATGCATGCGAGCAAAGGAGCAGAAAATAAACATCCCACATGAGAGCCTGAGAATACTGCTCAGTGCCAACACTTTCAGAAGATGTTACCTCTGCCACCTGCTTTACAAAGCATATATTAATATATGCATCTTCAAACAGTAAGATAAAAGACCAGGTATCTGGATCCTTGCCTAAGAACACAACCAGCTTTTATCAAGCGATCAATTGAGAGAAGTTATATTTAAGATTGCCTAAGACACATGCAATTCTCCCAATCTTCTAAATAACCATTATCTTACCCTTGGATTACAGGGACCACAAAGAGGCTAAGACCATATTATTTTTGTCCCTTCACAAAACTGTCTTCATTGATGTGTACTATAATATTTTACCTTTGTATAGTTCATGACAAGGAGTAGGCCTATGAAACACATCGCTCTATTGGCTTGTGGACTGATAAGCTACTACTGACTATTTTTTAATAGTTCATTAGTAGTTGACGACTACCTTGTTAAGTGTCTCCGACATAAAGTGTGTAAAATACTTCCGTTAGAATCAATGCTAGGAAAAACCTTGACTTTCCCTGGAGTATTTCTTTCTTTTTGATAGTGAAAACTAAATACTCTATCATGTTTCCCTATTTGCCCTGGCTGTTAGGAGACTTAGAACCAAATTTCACTTCAATTACAATAAGTTTATTTAGGATTATATTTGAAAAATGGGAATTATCTTGTTTTTTGGCCCTGACTTTCTTATCATTTTATTTTATTGCATGTGGTTTTATATTTAAGACCCTGTGTTAGACATGAAAAGGTTATGCTGTACCCACCTAGCTACAATCCCATCTTAAAAAAAATGGTCAGACGTGCATACATTGGCAGCTTTGTATTTCACAATCATGCTACCCTAGTACCAGGCTGGCATCTGTCTGGAAGTCAGCTGCCGCCCACTTTATTTAGGCCAGCTAACGCCTGGGAGAGAGAGAGCTCTGCCCACCAGAGGCACTTAGCTGGAGGAATGAATGGGAAGTATTCCAGTTCTGTCTTCTGAAAGCTGAATGTGAAAGTAAAAAAAGAGAGAGAGAAACAATCCCACAGAGAGAGGTCATGTCATGAACAGGGCGGAGCTGTCAGCCTAGATAACAATGGAAGCTGGTTGCCAAGGAGCCAGCAAATGACCTGGCCACAGGGATGGGCTAAGGGAGCTGCTGTTCAGCCAGTAAAGCTGCTGATTCTCTCAGCAAGGCTGCAGGTTTTCACGAGATCTGGCTCTTGAGACATTCCTGCCTGTGCTCATATACAACAACTTCCCTTCCAGAGGTAAACTGAGAATCTCTCTCCTCCCGCTCATCAAAAGGCTCTTGTGGACACTCAAATCCTCTGTATAAAGAGAAGAGTAAGCACATGTACACGTGCACAATGGTGATTTATTTTGGAGAATACTAAAAAGGATGAATAAATATAAAATTGAAGGCCTGTGAGTGGTCATTTTTCTGAGTTGTGATTTTGAAAATTCCATATTCCAATATCTGATGAAAAACTATCAACAATTCATTGCCTAATACAATTTGAAGCTCAGGCATAAGTTAAAAAACTCTCCTGTCGAATTCCAAAATATCTTCATTTGGGCTTATCACAAGTCTTAATTTCCCTGGGAAACAAATTACAAATAAATAAAAGGGGAAGGAAAAAACCTCAAAGTCACTTTTCAGTCCATTAGATATTAAAAAAAAGAGTGACTTGGCCGGGGATAGTGGCTCACTCCTGTAATCCCAGCGCTTTGGGAGGCCAAGGCGGGCAGATCACTTGAGGTCAGGAGTTCCAGACCAGCCTGACCATCATGGAGAAACCCTGTTTCTACTAAAAATACAAAAAATTAGCCAGGCGTGATGGCGGGTGCCTGTAATCCCAGCTACTTGGGAGGCGAAGGCAGGCGAATCATGTGAACCCAGGAGGTGGAGGTTGCAGTGAGCTGAGATCGCGCCATTGCACTCTAGCCTGGGCAACAAGAGCAAAACTCAGTCTCAAAAAAAAAAAAAAAAAAAAGAAAAAAAAGTGATTCTTCTAACACCAAACCAATATTTACTACTACTATAGCAACTTCTAAGCAGCTGACTTTTTCTTCACCTCATCATTTTGAGATCAGTCTGATTTTCTAACTTCTTTCACCATTTTATAATGAGGATGCAGGCTATGTTTTACTATAGCTAAGGAAAGTCCACACATTCAAGCTACTCCTCTCTAGTAACAAATAACTGCATAACCAAGCGGGGCACGGTGACTCACACCTGTATCCAAGCACTTTGGGGGGCCAAGGTGAGCAGATCGCTTGAGATCAGGAGTTCGAGACCAGCCTGGCCAACATGGTGAAACCCTGTCTCTACTAAAAATGCAAAAAAACCTTAGCTGTACATGGTGGCGCACGCCAGTAATCCCAGCTACTCAGGAGGCTAAGGCTCAAGAGTTGCTTGAACCTGAGAGGCGGAGGTTGCAGGGAGTCAAGATCACACCACTACACTACAGTCTGGGCAACTGAGCGAGGCTCTGACTCAAAAAAACAAAAATAACCCCCCCCCCCACCCCGCACACAAAAGAAAAACAACTCTGCATAACTTGGATTCAAGTTTTAAGAGAAGGGAGCCCCTTGACACCTATGGTACAAACTGGAAATACCTGCATGTTCAAAAGATGAGAACAAAGAAGTATAAGAGACTACTGTTTTAGTTTTAGTGATGCTCATCATTGTGAGGACTTAAGAGAATCTGAGTATTTTTCTTTATAATCACAATTTGAAAGAATAAAGGATAAAAATCAATGCCAACCACGCCAAAGGGCAACATACTTCCAGTTATCATTCTCCAAGTCCTGCTATTATCCACCTACACTTTTGGGGACCTGGTTCAAACTCTACAGATCAGATAAGCAGAGTTGTAAATATTTCCATGTGAAAAGCTTGCTTTTTCCAAAGACAGGCGTGGCTTTAGCATGTCATCTTCTTCTTTAGAACTTTCAGGAGCAATTATGCCCTGAGGATATAAGGACAGTAAAGCAAAGGTACGTGGCTGTAATAAGCATCCCACTGAAACTAGCAGCAAGGTGTGTGGGTTCACAGGATGGATAACCACGGAGAACAGATGGATAACCTGATGTGATATGTATAAAGACAGAAAGAAAGGCAGCCTTCTGCTGGTTACTTGCCCAGTGCAGGACTGCAAGAACAGACTCGGTCTTCTTCCACCCGAAGTACGTGGATATTACATAGGACCACACAACTCTGCAACAAGACGCAGGGGTGGGTAAACTCTAACAATCCAGGCTGCCAGACATTTTTTCCAGGAGGTGTGTGTGCATAAGTGTAATTTGAGAAAGGGGCCACTGCACTCCCCGTGTTTCTCTATAACAAAGTAGTGATTGTTAACAACTGAAGAATCATCACTCCTCTCTTGGGATTTTGCCAGTTCAGCAAAAGAAAATACCAATTTTCAGATGTTATCTCCCTCAGTAGCCTATTTCTTAATCCATTTCAGAAATGGGAGTTCTTTGGTTTTAAGGCCAATGAACCCCTTTTGGATAGATTCTTAAAAGTACTCCTATTCCTACCCCCAAACTAAAAGTCAGGCTGTCTTTTTCCTCACTTTCAACCAGGTTGTCCAGCTACACTTGAGTTTTGTTTCTGAATGTAGACACAGTTATTAAATGAAATGAAAGAGGCCTCAGGACAGGAAAGCATGCACTTCAATGGCTGAAAGCCAGGTGATTTTGCCATGTAGACAGATCCACATCCTTCTTGTGTGGCTACGGCCAGGTCAATGCTACCCAAACACGTACTGTTAAAACATCACTTGGGTAAAACAGGCTACGGATGAAGTGGTATCCCCAGTTGCTTAGAACTGGGTGATATAAACCTTATGCATGTTTCTTTCTGGTTCCTTGTATCACAAGTTAAAGATATTTGTCCTCTTGGTGTTTGTTCTAAGAATGTACATGTTGGATATGGTATGGTAAAAGGTGGCATGGCTGTAATAGGAAAACAAAATCAAGGCTTGGAAGAAAGGTGTTGTTAATTCTCACAGATCCCAGGGAGCGGGTCACTGCACACTACGAAGGGTCACAGTGAACATACTAGTGTCAGTCTGGAGGGAGAAGACAGCAGTGGGGGGAAAGCTTCGTTCAGAACCTTATGCTGAGGTTTCCACAGAAAAAGCAAGGCAGGGCAATTAAACAGCTTTGGATTGGCTGGATTGGCTAGTTTGGATAATTCCAGGGGGCTTTGGGGTACAGGGATGGTATCTAGTTGCCTGGCCCTGAGATGATTTAGGGCAGGGGAATTTTTGGGTTGGTGTGTGAAAGTTTGATAGAGAGGTTGGGAGCAGATACTCGGGACTAGTCGGTCTGCATATAAAAGGTGTGCTCATGGACAAGTTGTTATTACATTTAGAACTTAATTAGCCCTGTGAAAGGCACTCTCTCCCCTGGGTCTACAAAGACCCCAAATGCCAGAGCACTGAGAATACAGAAAATGGCCAGCTGCAGTGGTTCATGCCTGTAATACCAGCACTTTGGGAGGCTGAGTCAGGTGAATTGCTTGAGGCTCAGGGGTTTGAGACCAGCCTGGGCAATATGGCAAAACCCCATCTCTACTAAAAATATGAAAAATTAGCTGGGCATTGTGGCACATGCCTATAGTCTCAGCTACTCAGGAGGCTGAGGTGGGAGGATCGCTTAACCCTAAGAGGTGGAGGTTGCAGTGTGAACCGTGATCACGCCACTGCATTCCAGCCTGGGCAATAGAGCAAGACCCTGTCTCAAGAAAATACAGAAAATAAGAAAATAAATATAATTGGCCCTCTGATGAACAGACACATACAGAATCTAAGAAAACAAAGAACAATGTAGTTAAATAAGACACTTGGCCTGGGCAGCATACAAGGCTCATACACAGGCTTTGCGCCTAATATCCTTCAGCCCAGCTCCCTCCTGGTAAGGACAACCGATATTTTTCTCAGTTTTACAAAACATGTAATGCAAACACAACTCAAATTCTCTAACCTAACTTGACTGCCTTCCTAAACCCACATATGAAGAGGTTCTAGGACTATCATGGCTGGTGATGACATTTGTTTGTGATTGTGATTGATGGGACCTCTGCTGTCTACACTGCATTCACAATAAAAAGAAAGCATGCTTCAGGTAGTGGGCTGAGGCCTGTGGGGTTCTGCCTTTTCACTTTGTAAACTACCTAATTCCTTTAAACATGGGCACGTGCCAGGCTGGTGGGCCTGCCTCTGCAGCTTCCCAGCAGTGACGGTGCACCAGAGGAGCTGGACTTCTGAGACCCTCTGACCTGCTTTGTCCTCTTCGTCCAAACACACTTGGCATGCTGTCTCACTGCCTCGGCTAATCACGAAGCACAGCATCAGCCATCCCTAGCTTAAACACAGCTCAGGCTCAGCAGGGCTGTATCTGCAACACAGATCAAAATGTTGAGAAATGGGCTCTTTCCCAAGGCTTCTTTTGCTGATGGTCCCATTTTACCATGTAATGTTCAGGGTGGATTGTAAAGGATACTAATGAACGAGGTTCAAGGAAAGTGATATTGTAACTGTGGCAGGTCCAAGTATCACAGTCCTAGAAGCGGATGGACATGAGTACTTCTTGGCAGGCCATCAGTTTAGTTTGGAGCTTGATGTCACATTCATTCTTCTGGCTGCCAGTCTCCTGAGGGAAATATTGACCTTCTTGCTTTAGTCTTCTATATTTTATTAGTTGTTCCTCATTGGACAGACCTCTTAGTATCAGAATTAAAGGACCACTGGCTAAGGATTACCAACAGGACTCTGGTTGTTTTCAGTTTCTCTGGTACATTTTGGTAGATGACCAAGCCATGGATTTTGTGTTCCCTTCTCTCTTCTCATTCCTTTCTGGAAAGAGTTTAGATGGGCTAGGGAAAGATATTTGAAGCTTGCTGATCCAATGTAAATGAATCCTGTGGTGGGTAAATAATTTTCCTCTCTCTTTTGCACTCCTGGGGTATTCTGATGAATAATGCTTCTCAAATAAGTTTAAAAATATTCCCCCAGAGGTAAGAAGAGTATTAGGCTCATAGCAGGTGTGCCATTAATGCTTTAGTGCGTGGGGAAGAGCAAAGAGGAAAGGAATTATCAAAGCCTTGAAGTTTCACAGAATTTTCTGGAAAATTTTGAAGGCCACGGCTGGGAATAAAATACTGACGGCAGTGTTGGTGAACTGTGGAAACAGCTTCACAAAATCCAGTTAGACCATACCTTCAATGTATGAGCTTGTTTTAGGTGGATGGAGGATGAGGTTTATAGTTTGTTTTGCTGCTAATTATAGCATATGTTTATTTAAGTAACTCAGCAAAAACAATTGATTTATCAACCTCACCAAAATTAAAAAGAAAATTGTACCCTCCCTGCCTCCCATAATCTGAAAGTCCAATTTATAAACTCTAGTCTAAAAGCCTTCTTTAATAATAAATATTCATTCTCTTTTGAAACTACTGCAACTTGACCTTCAAATATCATGTTTTCCTATGTATTATGTTATAATTTGCCTGTGACAACTCAATCATGGTTTTAGTTTCTTTGATTTGTCTCATATTTTCAAACAAAAGCCTCTAGTAATAGTAGGGAAAGATCTTACTGCCACAGCGCCACCTACTGGTAGACCGTTATAGGAGCAAGCTATTGGGGCTCAACTTTGACCCGCAGTTTTGGAGTGTCCTTCTGAGCTTTGGTTTACAAAGCCCCAACTTCACTGTCATTTTGAGAAGCTAGAACTTCTTTTGGTAGCTACTAAGTCTCTTGCTGTAGTATAAAGTCAGCAAGTGAAAATGATAAAAATATGCTCTTATTCTTACTGTTACCTTAAATTGGCCCTGCCTTCACCGACTTTGATTTTCTCTGTCCTATAACTGTGGCAAGGGCTCCAGATTGTGTGGGCAGGGGTTTGGATCTGGCGAAAATAACTTGGGGAGCTTCCAAAGATCCTGAAAATGGAAAAAAGAATCCCTACTTAGCACTACGTTTTGATTTTAGCCCAAAAGACACAAGGTAAAATCTAAAACTAGGTTAAGGGGATCACTGTTCCCCCAGATGCTACCACCCCACTTCCTGCCAAATACCAATTCACAGTCTCTCTTTTGCTTCCCAACAGTAAAAATGGGTGATCATGCATTTTAAAAAACATGTAATACAAACACAACTCAAATTCTCTAACCTAACTTGACTGCTTTCCTAAGCCCACATATGAAGAGGTTCTAGGACTGTCATGGCTGGTGATGACATTTGTTTGTGATTGTGGCTGAAGGGACCTCTGCTGTCTACACTGCATTCACAATATAAAGAAAACATGCTTCAGGTGATGGGCTGAAGCATCAAACTCTTACCCCTCTGGCTCTGGAAAGAAAATCTGGGGAGCATTAAGGGGTATAGGACACTACTTATTTTTATTTCTATGCGATTATACTCCAGATCCACCCAGGAGCTCCAAAAACTATACAACACATGGTAAAAAGAGTAAGAATCTGATCATGAAAATAGGTCATTCTGCTGAGAGCTGCCAGGCAAGTAATTTCACTTGAAAGTTAAAGTGACATCGAGATCCTAAGGGTTTTAGCTCCACTGAGTTTAATGTATAATAATGTTCCTTTCTCTTGTTGTCTCAGGTACCCAATGAAGTAGGCAGTCACAGCCACAACAATGCGCTGTTGCCCCACCCCCATCCAAAGAGCACAAAGCTATGGTGCATTTTACTAGGGCCAGAAACAATGAACATTTAACAAGGACACTGCTTACCGCTTGCAAATAAAATCCATCACTGATTCTCTGAAGGTGCGACTGGTGGAAGGGACCTTACCAGACTATTAAGAGCTTAAAAAATAAAAGGAGGGAGAGGTTGGGCTTCAGGACAGGAAAGGCTTAGGCAGAAGCTAAGGGGCAGGGCTGAGGGCAGCTGCTGTGGCTTCAGACTTCCACAGTAATGGTAGTTTACATTATCAAATCAGCATGAGAGAAATGTCAGTTATCTAATCTGTTGTTCTTTGCTATTTTAGTTTACCATCACCACTTTAGAACTCAAGAAGGACACCACCGGTACAAAGAAAAAAGGCCAATGAATTTGGCTTTAGGCCAAGAGCCCTCACTCCAGCTTCCTTCTCAAATTTCCAAATTTGCTGACTCTACACCTTCCCTTCCATAGTAAACTATGAATATAAAGCCTGAGGTTGGAAAGTCAAGGAAAATCCACATTCATGGAGTACTCCAGGCACTCTGCTAGGAGCTTTCAACTCACTATCTCATTTAATGCTCATAATACCAAGAATGCCATTTAGCCACCATCATTAGGAAAAGACTGACTTGTTTTTCCAACAGTGGCCTGGGACGAACCACCATCTCCTTCAGACTGCTCGAGAAACATTCACACAGCCGAAAGCCTGGCTGGCAAGACTCACAGGAGAGTTAAGGAACCAGAAAACAGACTTCTGCTATAGTCATAGACTCAATATCATGTTTAATGGATTGAATTAACTGGACCAGATGGGCTAAATACCTTTCAAGGACAGTTCAGGGATTCCTTCATAGGCACACACTTCCTGGGTCTCAGGGAGAAGTGTAAACTTTTAGACTTATTATGTAAGTTGTTCTTCTTTCTTGTGGGTTTAAAGAAAAATGTTGCTACTTTTTAAAGAAAAAAGATTAGCAACCTAATCTTTGTAGGATATCCTTCTGAACCCCTAGGATAGAGCTGCTTTAAATCTACTTGTAACATAGAAAAGAAATGATCTGCAGTTCAAAGGTTGGTGTGCATGGCAGTTACCCACTAGTTGTATAAATAACTGTAGCAGATTTAGTTACTAATGCTGTGAAGGTAACATGTTCATTGGCAAGTATGGAAAATGCCTGAAGCTTACTCTATCATGCTCCTCAGTGTTTCTTTAACTAAGGATCAGGAGCACCAGGAAAATCAGAGTAGAAACAAACTCAAGGAGTTCAGAGGCCCAGAGTCACTTGGTCACAAAAGCAGTAAGCAATATAAACTACCTAAACAATGTAAGAACGATCTGCTTGTTATCACAAGGTAGAATTAGCAGGGAAAGATTGCTATCAGAAGCCAGGAAAAATACAACTTCTCCTTGCTCTGTGGTTTATACTGACACCAAGTTCAGTAGTGAGTGCCACAAAATCTTCTAAATAACTTTACCAAGAGTCTGTAAACACTAATTCATGGTCAAGATGCTACAAGTATGACCCACCTGACCACCCAAGTTTCCAACTGGCTCAGCTGGAGTGCATGCAAAGTTCAATTCAACACTTAATTTGTCAATTAGACACACAAATGAAGTCTAGTCAGGGATCTCCTGGGGTTTGCAAATTTCTCCAGCTGAAGCAGATTTGAAGAGCCGAAGGGGTTCCAACAGGGTATCTCACGGAAATCCTTCTAACTTGGCCATGACTCCCTGTGCCATTACTTCGCAGTCCACAATAATCCCAGGTGGAAAAGTTTACTTTCTTAAAAATATAATAACTACCATGTTCTAGTAATTCTTTTTTTTTTTTTTTTTTTGGAGGAATGAGGTGAGTAGATACCCATCAACTATTTGTTGAATTCAGGCTCAACGCAGATTTTCAATGGTGAACAAATCCTTACACTCCTATCATACTACATGACCTAGGTGTGGTTATGTACTTATAGTGCCTTGCCTATATATTGCTTCATTTAATCCTCACTATAAGCCTAAGAGATCCATATAATTATCCCAACGATGCAGTCACGTAACTAGGCTTTTTTTTTTTCTTTTTGAATTAGAGGTAGGGTCTTGCCCTGTCACCCAGGCTGAAGTACAGTGGCAGGACCACAATTTATCGCAGTCTTGAATTCCTGGGCTCAAGTGATCCTCCCATGTCAGCCTCTTTAGTAGCTAGGACTACAGGCATGTGCCACCACACCTGGCTAATTAAAAAAAATTTTTTTTGTAGATATAGGATCTCACTTTGTTGCCCAGGCTGGTCTCAAGAGATCCTCCTGCCTCGCCATCCCAAAGCACTGGGATTGTAGGCATGAGCCACTGCCCCTGGCCCAAGCTTCTCAGAGAGCTTGTAATCATTTTAAGGTGTATTACATCAGTCCCTGACCCCTAACCACCCAGCCCGCCTGCTTAAAACTCCGCAATGGCTCCTTATCGCTATCAGGGCAATGACCAAGTTCCCTACATGGCTCAGAAACTGGCCTTACCAATTCATAACCTTTTCTCTTTCCACTCCCTGCTCATGTCCCGGTGCCCAGCCACATGGATCCATGGAAGCCTGTGGATCACAGCATGGTCTCATTTCCCCCTGGTCTTTGCTTGCACTGTTCCCTCTTCCTACTCCACCTGTGCCTTCCCTCTCCTGGCTGACTTGTCCACATTCCAGTGTCAGCTTAGATGTTTATTCCTCTAAGAAGTCGTCCCCAGTCCCTAAAGATCTGGGCCCGACTGCTTACTAGCTGTGAGACTTTAGACAAGTTTTTTTTTTTTTTCTTTTTTTGAGACAGAGTCTTGTTCTGTCGCCCAGGCTGGAGTGCAGTGGCGTGATCTCGGCTCATCGCAACCTTTGCTTCCTGGGTTCAGGCAATTGTCCCGGCTTAGCCTCCCGAGTTGCTGGGATTACAGGCACACGCCACCATGCCCGGCTAATTTTTATTGTATTTTTTTTAAGTAGAGATGGGGTTTCACCATGGTGGTGAAACTCCTTACCTTGTGATCCTCCTACCTCGGCCTCCCAAAGTGCTGGGATTACAGGTGTGAGCCATCATGTCTGGCCTAGACAAGTTTTATAATCTGCCTGTGCCCTTTATTTCTTCAGCCATAAATGGGGAATATAGTTCCTACATTATGTGCCTGTTTGGTTAACAAATGAGTTTTACGTGTAAAGCATTCAGAAGTGTGCGTCACACATAGCTAATGCTCAGTGTTGTCTACTGTTAATTCTATGTGTCTCAGGCATACAGTAATACCCACTTGCAGCACATTCCCTGCTGACTTTTCTATCTCCTTGAGTCTTTAAGTTCCCTGAGAGTGGACTGTCTTGTTTACCCTGTGTGTATCTCAGTGCCCAGCATGTTATTTTCTCCATAGTAGGTACTCAATAATAAATATTTGTTAAATTGAATCTAAGTGATTTTCTTTGAATTTTCTGACTTATCAGTGCATTTTTATTAATTATTCATAGAAAACTATCTCTGGACCAACACTGCCTAGCATATCTGTATGCACCTACATTGAGGCTTCAGGCTCTCAGTAACAACCTGTCCACAGACAATGATATGAGCACAACACCTAGATCAAAGGCCAGAGCACCAGCTCTGCATCCACGCATAACCTTCGACAAGCCCTCAATTTTCTGAGCCTGTTTCCTCATGTGGAAGGGATAAGAAGATAAACCTTACAGGGCTATGTGAGAATTAAGTGAGAGAGATAACGTGGAAATACAATATAAACAGTGAAACACCAGTCAATATGGGGCATTTTTACCAAAAGCTGCAAATCTGATAGCATTTTATAAGACTGGGAGGTTTCATTTACCCCCAACTATTTCTGGAAAATGACTATTCTATTTTAGGCTGCCAAAATTATTCTAAAGAAGAATGTAACAAAAATGCCCATTTACCAACGTTTTAAGAGGCTGGATAGTTCACTCTTTTATCTTTGGAGGCAGAAGAGAGAATGAGCCAAGCCTAACACCTTCTCTGTGATCTATCCAGCTGCAGAAGAGCTGGTGCCCACTAACCTGTGGAGCTGGTGATGGGCACAAAGGCTGCAGGGTTAAGGCTGCTTTGGAGTCCATTCTGCTGCCCTTCTGCGGAGGACCCTCTGAAACACAAGGGAGCTTGGTCAGACCTGCAGGTGGAAAGGCGAGGTCAGGCACATGCCCTCTGATAGCTTCACTTCTTGCTCTTGGTGCTTCCTCTCCTGTGGATCATGCCCTTGCTTCCTTCAAGGCTTTGGAATGCCCTCGGAACCTTTAAAGACCAGCAAACGGGATGGGATGGGGTGGGAATAGTCAGCCAGTGTTTGCCGAACATCTTTGACAGGAATAACCTGGGGTCACTTGTTCATCACACAGCTTTCCAGGTGGGCCTGGGGACAGGTACCCAGGTGATTCCCATCTTCACTGGCTAGTGGGTAAAGAGGAAGGTGGTGTGAGGTTCACCTGGAGAGTCGGGTGGAGCCTGAGGTATTCACGTAGTTCCTACAACCCGGAAAGAGACATGTCGCTTGAGAAGATCTAGCCCAGCATTGGTGCAAGGATCAGAATGTCTCATAGCCCTTCCCCTCTGGCAAGCAATCTGGGCCCTACCTCCTCCTTTCCACTTTCATTTTGAGGACAAGGGAGCCACAGAGGCAGGAGAGAAAGGAACAGCCTTTTCCCATCAGCCTCAGCCTGGAGAGCCACATCTGAAATCCTCATGCATTTTATTTCAGCCCCTTATGGGACCCAAAAATTCTCCCAAAGCATCTGTAGCTGATATTTGCTCTTTCATGTCCATGCGAAAGTTCTGGAGGGCCTAAGATAAGCCCTTTCCTTTACAGAAGTTAAAAAGCATTAGAGCCACTGTGCTCGCTTTAGGAACAGCTGAGTGGAGCAAGGCCCTGGGCTGGTCTCAGTTTCACAAAGTATTAGTGGTTAAAAAAAAAAAAAAAAAAGGGAAGAGGTAGGCAAAATCTTTGGGTCAGTAGAAGAAACAGGTTGAGAGTAACAGAAAACTACCCGAGGGATGAGAAGAGTCCGGGGGTCGGGGGGGTTAGACTCAATGAATTCTGGGTCTCTAAAACCCTCAAAACTTTTCCCTCTCCTCTCTGGAACCCCAGACCCACCCTTCACCTTGTCAGGCTTTATCCTGTTTCTTACCCAAAATCTTCTGACCCTCTGGCCCCTTGTGCCCAGTTTCACTCTTCCATCCTCCTCCCTCTCATCCTCTCCCATCAAAGGCCCTGGAAGCCACCACCGATTCAGAATTTGAACATTTCTAATGATTCTACTGTTTCTAGCATAGAGTCCCCATTCTCCCTGTGATGTAGAAATGTGTCTACAGTGATCCAAGGGGAAACTCTTGAGTGAATTTTTCCATGGAAACACTGGTGCACAAAACAGTTTAGGTCTGTTATTACTACTTTAGGCACATTATGGGTAAATATGCTTTTGTTGTGATAACATCATTTCCTTGGGAAAATATATTCCAACTTTTGGACAACCTTCCCCTAAATGAGAACTTTGGAAACACAGCTTGTCAAGAGCCTGCATGTTAATTTGCACTTGCCCCTGATTCTTTGCTGCTTTCCTGGGAATACCTGTGTTTTAGGAAATATTTAAGTCAGGAAGTACGTATATGTTCCCTTGGTTGTCTTTAAGTCAGTTACTAGGGTTTAACAACTGAATAACAGGTCCTACCTTACAGGCTTCTGAAGACAAAGCAAGATGGTGAATATAAAGCACATCTAAACACAGTGATTGGTGTTATATTATGGACTAAATACACATTAACTCTCATTAGTATTGTCATGTTTACTTAGGAATATTGCTTAACACTCTCTGCATTCACTGTAAGTCTATCTACATACAGAAATATCAAATTGAATGACTCACTGACTCCAGTAGCAGTATGAAATATTAGTGCTAAAGTACAAAAGAATGGACATAGGCATTCTGAACCTGGAAGTTAACAGCAATTTGCTATTAAAGTTACCAGGTAATTAATTGGCAACCTATAAGACAAAAGTCTCACAGTAAAAATTATTCTTAAGATCCCTTAGGAAGACAGGTCACATTTGAGATTGACAGGTTGCCTCTTAATAAACCTAATATGTACTTTTCTGCCAGTCAGAATGATTTGTTCAACTGTGCACCAAATGAAGTAAGTTGTATTTAGAAAAGTAGGCTTGCATTATGGGACCATGTTGTATAAACTATGTATTTTTATTTTTTTGAGACAGAGTCTTACTCTGTCACCCAGGCTGGGGTGCAGTGACATAGTCACAGCTCACTGCAGCCTCAGCTCCCTGGGCTCAGGTGATCCTCCTACCTCAGCCTCCCAGGTAGCTGGGACTACAGGTGTGTACCACCACGTCCAGCTAATTTTTGTATTTTTTGTGCAGACAGAGTTTTACCACGTTGACCAGGCTGGTCTCAAACTCCTGGGCTCAAGTGGTCCACCTGCCTTTGCCTCCCAAAGGGCAGGGACTATAGGTATAAGTGACTGCACCTGGCCTAAAATATGTGTCTTTAAACATGAGAGTAACAGATGCTCTGTAAGAAAGGCCTATGGGAACTGCAACAGACTGACTGGAGTGACATTTCTCCCTTCTTATCCTAAGTGTAAAATCAGCTGGAATCAGCTACTTTACGAAAATTATAATCTATTTCTCTCTGAATAGCTGAATGTATAAAGTTAAATATGTGTTTGATACAGTTCCATTATCTGATGTTCTCTGGTCATAGTATACCAGCATACAAAGAAGTCGCTAAAGATGAAGTTAGAAAAACTGGATTTATAGAAGTATCAAGAGTCTGAGAGTGAGAAACATCGAAAAGATAGGACGAACAAAGGTGTCATTAACTTCACATTATACAAAAGTTAGAGTTCAACCATGAGAAGAGTGATAGATGTGATACCTAGTCCTTGATTGCTCTTCTTGGAAATGGTGCAACTGGCTAGGAGATGGGAAGGTGCTTGATGTAGTGAAAGGTTGAGAGTAAGGGGCTTACCACAATCTATGCTGTGGTGATGGTCTTACTCAGGCTTTTCTCTGAGGACAAACTGCCAATGATTACTAAAAACTGCTTAAGCCAGGTGTGGTGGCTCACGCCTACAATTCTAGCACCTTGGGAGGCTGGGGCAGGCGAACCTGAGGTCAGGAGTTCGAGACCAGACTGACCAAAATGGTGAAACGCCATCTCTACTAAAAATACAAAATTAGCCAGGCGTGGTGGCTCATGCCTGTGAAACCAACTACTTGGGAGGCTGAGGCAGGAGAATCGCATGAACCCAGGAGGCGGAGTTTGCAGTGAGCTGAGATCGCCATTGCACTCCAGCCTGGACAACAAGAGTGAAACTCCCGTCTCAAAAAATAAAGAAATAAAATAAAAACAAAACTGCTTAAGAGCAGGCTGCCTGATTAATTTAGCCACTTAAAAACTATAATGAGAAACGTGACCACATACAGTAGCAACAAAGAATTAGAAAAATTCAATGAATAGTGACATGCTCCTCTCAATAAAGGGAAAACATGTCCTTGGGACATGTTCACAGCTGGAAGCTAAAGAGTTTCCTTAAGTATTAAATGTACACTTCCTAACCCTTAATTTGACTCACTTGCTTCACATCTGTCTACTCCTCTTGCCTCTATCATTTTTCTGAAGTCTGAGAAAGCGCCTCACATGAGCGTTATTCCTACACGGAGAGAACAGCTCTCCTGAGCCTTTCAAAGAAATTGTTCAATGATGTATTAAAAACAAATATCCTTATAAGATGAAATGCCTGTATTTCACCTTATATGATTACTACCACCATTATTTTGAAAAATTTCTTCTAGTACAAGTCTCTATTTAGGGAATATAAGCCAATCAAACGGTTGGTTAGGAATACCACTGGCATCAAGACCACGCCATACAGCCAGCCTATGTAACATATATATATCTATAACCTAGTCCAGGAAGGTTATAATGAGCAATATCCCCACTATCCCTTTTGCTGGTAAGGTTTCTGACATGCTTTTTCATGGATCTTCGTTTCTTTATTTGTGGTTTCCTCTGATCTTCTTTTGCCCATTATTTTGATCAGTGGAAACTTTTCTGAAAGTGATATGCTTTCTTTAAGGCCTGTTTTGTTCATTACTTCACAAGGTTGACTGTGGTTTGCTGCTATATCATTTCTGTTTGGGTTCTTTTCAAGGCTTTCCACATCCCCAACACAGGGGTAATCGTTTTCTATTTCAATGGTTTAGTATAAGTTTATCTTGGACTCATGCCACCACATCAGAGATGACCTTTCTGTAGAAGGAAGGACTCACAAAAGGAAAATGCTCAAGATTTTACAGGAAGAGCGGAGCTACAAATGCTGATCCTACCAGGGCTGTGGCAAAACAAGACATGGCTCCATCTGTGAAGGTCCTGAAAACAAACACTCCAAACCTGATCATTTTTATAAAATACAGTGATAACCAACCTCTTTCAATTCCCAAGGAAAAAGAAACAAAACAAAACAAAAAATACATACCCTGACTTTCCTTACCAAACATTTACTCATAGATTACGTATCCTACAACTTTCAACATATCCACACACACACAGGTATATGCTGCCTCTTCCTTTTATCTATCAGTCTAGGGATTATGATTCTGAAATAGAAGTTAATGCTAATCCTTAGAAAATAACAATTAGAACATTATTAATTAGGTTCAGGTTCCAAAACCAAATCATGAAACATTTAGTGAAGTCAACTTTGGTGCAGTAAAGACACATAGGACTCTGTTTTATAAATATACTACAGATTACCTATTCCCCTATATTTCTGATTACAGTCCTTATGGTTCCTGAGTAGGCCCTTTCTCTCTTTTGATTCATTAGTCTTTCCAGAGGCCATCCTCTCTATGGCTTGTAGCCAATTTCATTCTTTCCTTCAACATGTATTCAATGACCCACTACCCCGTGTCAGATACAGTCTGAGGCACTGTTCTCTCATGTTCTGCCGTGTGCCCGACTGTTCTAGATTTCTGTGTATTTTTTTCCTTTCTATATTTTCATTAGTTTACTCTGTTGTCCTTTTATAGCTTTGCAAATTAAACAAAGAACTCACTTATTTTTAATCCTTGTCTTTTAAATAAATGTATTAAGAGTTTAT